CGATTTTCTAAACCAAAGTGACAATATTGACCATTATCGTCCAATTGTTTACAGATAAATGTAAATGGGTTTTTTAAAAGGGTACGGCTATCCCGGGGTAATTCTGGGTGTAGAACATGCAAGAGGTTTGTAAGGGCAGAATGTGTTACATGGTTTGTAATTGCCCAAAGACGTATACTATTAATAAAACTGTTTTTATTTTCACTGCAGTCATTATTTGTGTTATTAGAATGAACTAATTCATCATTGGTAAAAGTTACTATTTCTGTTTCAAGAAAGTTGATTTCTTTAGCATTATTGGAATCACTTACTTCATTATTAGTAATAGTGGCTACTTCTGTTTCGACAAAATTGATTTCATTTTGACCCTCGCTATCTATGTGAGATTGTGTTGCAACATTTTGTTTTACTTCAAGGTTTGAATTATGTTTTAAAGTTTTCAATGCCTTCGCTACTCTTCTGTATGTTTGCCTTTTACCAACCAAATCTTTAAATTTATAGTTTGGTTTATTATTTGACATTTTGAATAAAACTGGTGTTAAACTAGGTAGCGAAATAACTAATAATATAGCGACACTAATCACTATCGAAAACTTAAGCTATTTAAGTTTAATGTTAGTACCTATTAAGGTGTGCGCCGATCACGATTCTGTCTTTGCCTCAATGTATTTGCCTCTCTTTAGGGAGCGTGTTTCAGCCAAGTTTTTATATATCCGCAGATCTCATCAGCTGTTATTTTAGGAGTGGATTTGCACAGCTCCTTCAAAAAGTGACTAATATTATTCTGTTAACCTTAACCTATATAAAGTACTTACTAACTACAACAGTTTTCAATTGTTTGTCGTGGAATGGTTGTTTTTGTGACCTAGTGCCGTAAAAACTATAGTTTTTTGCAAGGTTGTCACAAAATATATTCCTTAGGATATTATTCGTTTTAGAGGACACATCACGCCCACCTAACGTTGAAAAGTACAGCACCTGGTAAAGAAATGTGTTTACATTATTACTTGCAATTGTTTAAGATTAATATTCTTACCAAATTTGTTAGGTGTCTATCATTTTGTAAGTATTCTTCGATTATGGGAACATCTACTTGTCGAACTATCGGAAATGTGACAGGAAGATCATTAGGCAGCTCATATGTGGATGATGACGTACTGTGAGACGCCTGGCTTCTAATCCATTTAAGAATCTGATTGTTCTGTTCCTTTATATGCAGTAAAGTTGGCATAATATTATTTAAATCTAAATCCAAAATTGATGTTAACAAAATACAACGCACAATAATTCTCACCATTACCTAAATTCGTGTGTTCGATACGAGGTTCGATATGAGAATCAGAGAAGCTAGGGGTGTTCGTCCTTGAATTTGGATCCAATGAAGAGACTGATGGTGTACCAACATCATTGGCTAAAAAAGACCTCTTGGGAGTTATTGCGGTAGGCAAATTAACAACTTGCAGGTCAGAAAATTGGTTTTCTGTAACGAAATAATTTAAGATGAAAGACATATTCACAACAGATATATGTCAAAGGCAAAAGTAATAATCCCGAGACTCCTTAAAAATTTATCTTTTGTAATATATATTACCAAGTCTACATTAATATTAACTAATTTGAACAGAAGTAGAGAACAATGTGTTGGAGAAGAGATACACTAGCTACCATTTCTGCAGTTGAGCTATGAAACAATCATTACTTTTGTCTTTGAAGGCACCCAGTATTAATTTAGCCAAAAGCGGTCACCATGTTAGAACAAGGTTTCATATAAACAAATCATTATAGGTGTGTAGTCAATTATCAAGATCATTGAGTAGGTACGTAACATAAGACATTGTTTGCAAAAAAATTTGTATAGTATAAAGAATAAAAGTATTACATATTTTGAATATTTTAAAGTTATCCGATTACATTAGCGGTACATTTAAAAAATCGATCTGTTACGTTGGAAAACACAAATATATGATATAAGGTCGTCCTCCGATTATAGATTTGCAGGTTTTATATTTATAAATTTCTTTGTTATTGCTTCAAAATAACATATGTAAGTAGTCGAAGTGCACCGACGTCATATTGACGTAAATATTAGTATTAAAGTACCGTTAAACTTCGTCGACCATTGGTCATTCGACGTCATTTCCGAAGGATTACGTCAAACTGACGTCTATATGACAACACTCTGCTACCTGGGCTGTATGCAGAAAGTAGGTATTTTTGCAACGTTTAGGGTTTTATCTTTTATGAGATCATTATCACATAAGATCCCTTTGAATTATCAGTAAAACTGTACCCCGTATCTCAATAACTAAAAACAACTACAGTCCACATTCGTTACAATTAAGTATTTTATTTCATACTGTCCGGTAGATGTTCGATTACACTATCATTTTGAGTCCGGTAGGTGAGTTATTACAGCATCGGAGCCGGTAAGTGTCGCTAAGCAACACTTACCGGACTGTTATTTGTATACATCAAATTTGACATCTTCACACAATTAATTGAAAACCCCAACATAAATTTGACTGTAATTCTTTATTTCAAACATTAACATTGATTGTAATGAAACAATTTGTATTGCCCTCAACACTACGCCTGGGTTATTACTGGATGTCGAGTTAGTAATGTTTGATTCCTTCTGCTGTAGAACTTCAATGAAATTTTCGCCGCCTTGTATCAGTTGTATCATACGGGCAATGTAAACTTTTCCTTCTACCGAGCCTTCGATGTATTTTTCTGCCGTCGATGAGCTTTTCCATGCTCCATGACGCTTTAACACCGATACCCAGGCAAAAAAATCTCAATTCAAAAACTTACTGCGTCCAAAAAGTATGCCAACATGACTTTTTCCTCTACTTGTTTCGCCCCATGTTCGTTCCTCAATTGGCAAAACACTTAGTACTCTTTTTCATACCTTGCGGCCGACTTCTTAGGAACCAACTTTTCGGTTGCTTCATGAGATTTCGACAGGATTGTATCGGGAACAGTGGAACATCCCACAACGTTTATAACGTCAATTTTTCAGTGAAAAAAATTCAATTGTCAACAAACTACAAACTATAGCAACGGCCGTTGCCACAGAAACAAGGTAATGCGATTTTTACAATATTAACCGCTTTCTTTTACTTTTGGATTTTGAATCCAGATCAGTGCAGTTCCGATCGCAACTTCTGAACGTAAAAAAATTAAAAGAACATGATTTTGTAAGGTTGGGTTATTTGCGATAGAATCAGTTGCAAAAGAACGTAATTCACGTCTGACATTTTTTATTTGTTAGGTTAGTAAATAAACCAGATGGATATTAACAAATTTGTTTTGGTAACAAACCATTATTATTTATTACATTCCTGACTATCGTTTATTTCACCTTTAGGATCAATTGTTAACCCCAATGGATGCAATGAGTACTTCAAGTAGTAATAGTAGTGACGATGATGAAAGGGACAATCACATAAGAATTAAGGATTATGTTGAAACAATAGTTCTGAATTATACAGTGGATGACTTTAAAAGTCATTTTAGAATGGACCGAACTAGTATTTCCACATTAATTGAACGCTATGATCCTAATGTCTCACTCAAACAGGGTGGTTGGCCTCGTGTTACTAGTACCAAGACAGTGTTATTGACTGTGTGGTACTTGGCTAACATTGAAACTTTCCGACAAATTGGGGACAGGTTTGATGTCACATTAAGTTGTGCACATGGTACTGTAAAAGTTGTTACGGAATATCTTATTAGGATTAGTGGTGACTATATAAAGTGGCCTACTGATGTTAAAGCTGTTGATGAATCTATAAGCTTTGAAAAAAAGAAAAATATAAGTAATGTAATTGGAGCCATAGATGGAACCCATTTTAGAATTAATAGACCTAAAGTTCACCCTGAAGATTATTGTAACAGGAAAGGATACCATAGCATCATTATGCAAGGGGTTGTAAATAGCAAAATGGTATTTATTGACATTTATGTAGGAGAGCCTGGATCTATGCATGATGCTAGGGTTTTTCGACGTTCTGCCTTATATAAAACAGCAACAGAAAATCCTGCAGACTTGTTTTATGGCAAATACAAATTAATAGGAGATTCTGCATACCCTGCTTTAGACTGGTTGAGTACTCCAAAAAAGGATAATGGTCATCTAAGTAATGATGATAAAGATTTTAATTACCGGCACTCTAGCACTAGAATTGTGGTCGAAAATGCGTATGGTCATTTAAAAGGTCGTTTCAGGAGGCTTCAAAAATTTGATAATCTTACGACAAGTTTCATAATAAATTGTATAGGGGCATCTTGCGTGTTACACAATATATGCCAAATGCGTAAAGATTTTAATGACGATATATTTATGGAAACTGTATAATATAATAAACTAATATCTAATAACATAAACACAGCTAAATAAATCTTAAGAAACTTATTATCAATTCTTTTAACATAAAAAAAAAACTTATTGTGAATCTTGTTCGTTTGCCATTATCTTTAAATATTTTTCCAATAAAGTAACTTTTTTTTCTTCTAGTTTAATTTTTGCTTTTTCCAATTCCATTCTTTCCTTATGGCGCACCTCTTTTTGTTTCAACCTTTCCGTTGCCAAGTTATATACCTTACGCTTCTTTAATGGTGTTTCATTAATTGATTGTGTTGGCGTAGATGTACCGCTTGTTCCTTCACTCTCTATATTCTCTTCTTTGTCAGTATCTGCATGTGTCTCTAATCCAGGGACTGTTGTTCTATTGATGCCTACATTAATAACAGCTTGTGGTTCAGAGGTGATGGCTTATCGCCAATAATTTCGTCAATATGGTTATAATATTTATAATGTTGTGCCCCCCTTCCACTTTTCTTGGGGCCCTTGTTATCTTTTATAGACCTGTATACCCGTAGTAAATTGGTCCACTTCCTTTCCAACTTTTCGGGTTTGCGCTAAAAGAATTATATTACACATTTATCATTTACGATGTTACCAATTTCTTACAAAATAATTATGTGCAGACATTTGCTCCCAAACATGCTTCCGTTTTTTTGCATTCGTAAAGGCATCTTTATTTTCATGATATAAAGATATCAACAATAGTGTTTCGGCATCAGACCAAGATGCTTCGCTTGACTGTGAATCTTCACTATATGTAGAAGTACTGGGTGTAAGGTACCTTTCTTCTGGTGACTTTTCCACTACAGTGTTTTGCAAAGTTTCCTTATGGTTATTTAGTAATTCTTGGGCAAAAATCATATCTAAAAGCATTAAAATTGTAATTATTGACATTTTTCATTTAATTAAAACCTGTTGTGGCGAGATTATAATCCTCCTGGGATACAACAATATCATAAACAACATCTGCCTCTTGTAAGCTTAATGTTAAGTTTCCACTTCCGGAGCACATTTTGGCAAATGCAACAATTTTTGCAAATAAACAAGAAATAAAAAGTAAGGTTAGAAAATTGCGATTGAATCCGTTGAATCTGTTTGAAACTTTGATTTGGGGCGGAAAGGGGAATGCGGATCGCGTTCCGAAAACGAGGTTAAGGGGGGATTGATCGTATTGGCAAAAGAACGCGTTCATTTGATCTGAATGCGACATAACGTGCTTGGATCGTAAAATCCGTAGCAAAAGAAAGCGGTTATAATGAAATTTTGTAATCTTTGAAATGAAATAATGATACAAAACAGACTTACAGTATGAAATAAAATACGTTACGATATACGTCCGGTAGTACTTGTAACAGTACTCGTTTAAGACATTCTTGACTCGGCTCCTGACGTCGCCTCGTCCATAATGTCTAACTCGTACTGTTACAAGTAACCTACCGGACTTATAACGTAAATAACTATTAGGCTATTCATAATAAGGGTGGAGCAATAAATAATTGTTGGGGTTTCATAGATGGCACTACACGTGCAATGTGTCGTCCTTCTATGGAACAAGAAGAGTATTACTCTGGCCATGTTATAATGATGGGATCGAGAGAGTTTATTAATAACGATGCACGTTCATGGAGTGCTGAATGACGAATGCTTTATTCAGATTCCGTGTCTCAACTCACGCTTCTACAACATCTCCCTTTTTTACATTTAACTTTCTACAACTAATTTTAACATGCTTGACTATTACTACAAATTCATTCTTTGCGGTGGTTTGACCCAGGGGGGTGACACTTTAAATCGCGTGTTTGGTCAGTGAAATTGTGCTGCCACCTGAGAGACCGATAGGCAAACTATTCAATTATCATGGAACTTTACCAGTCACGTGCCATGTAGATGTCTGTTAATCCGACACGGGTCCGTTGATGGTCCGTGACCGGATGTTTACGCTTTGCCCATTTGCAAATTGTTATTTGTTACGTGCACGTGTTTTATATGTACGTTGTGTTTTCTGTTGTTTTTTCCTCAAAAGCGAAATAGACGTTATTTTATTTGTGTTTTACCTTAAGCTGGTGTATACTTGTGTTTAATAAGTATATAATACTGAAAATGTCAACTCAAACCCGATCCTGTTGTGTTCCTAACTGTATAAACAGTGGAAGTAGAAGGTAATTGCAATCTATTCCTTGTCAACAATCTAACTAGGATTAATTTTTTTTAACAGATTTAGTTTTCCCCTCACGGAGTACATTCGGAATGTGTGGTTACAGCGGATTGGTAACGACAAACTATTTACAGTGAAACCTCAAAGTTTAAGCTGGTATAAAATTTGTGACATACATTTTGATGAGAGATGCATTTCAAATAATAGGTTGATTCGTGGAGCATTGCCAACATTACATTTACCCTGTAAGTTTCTTTGCCACTGAAGCGTACTTTTTGATTTTATATTACTTTATTTCAGTGTACGTTGGAGATGAATATTTGCATGTTCACCAGCCTTTCACTACATGTGCTATTAAGACACCAGAAAGTGTTCGAGGTGGGAACTTACTAATATGGCCTATTCTTTGCACTAATATAATTTTGTTTTGTAGCCGCATTAGCCTGCCAATCAGCTTCTCTTGATTCACCTGTTGGTTCAGTTACGCCAGTCATTAAATCATATGGAAAGGTAACTGTAGAGAGAACATTATTTGTCTCCAAACCAGCTTCTATAATTGCACCAATTCAAATGGATGTTGATGAATTGGAGGGGATACAATTAATAAGTGATGAGGCTGTACCATCAACATCCCAATTTTGTTCGACGAAGGCGCCAAGATCTACTGTTATTCAACGTAAGTTTAATGTCGAAACTAATAAGTAAATGTGCAGTAGTAATTTAACAACAGTGGTGTAATTATATTGTGGTAGTTACAATACTTCAACACTTGTAATTTTATATCATTTTAACTGAAAATGTTAGCACACAAAAGAGAATATGCGTCACACTGAGATTTGTGCATTTTATTGGCATGATGGTCAAGTTAAAATTAATAATTTTTTGTTTTAGGTTGTCGAAGAAAAAATAAACGTCAATATTTAGGGATTGGATCAGACTGTCAGGAGCAGATCCGTTTGCTTAAATATTATAAAAGGAAAGTAAAACAGTTAGATGCAAGGCACGTTTCTTTAAAGAAAAAATATCAGGCTATCACTAACAACAAGAATTTTCATTATCTTTTTAAGTGCGTGAACAAAACAACTTTTAATTTTGTTTTAAATCAAATGAAAAATCAAAAGTTAAAAGCAAAAGGTAGAAGGTTTACTTTGGATGATAAAATTTTTGCAATTTCTGCCTATAAGCAAGGTCCAAAGTTGTATAGATTTTTATCGACAAATTTTTTTGCTTTACCATCACCGAGAACTTTAAAGAGAATGTTGGCTCAAATACCATTGTATTGTGGATTGAATGTACACATTTTTGAACATCTACAAGAAATTGTACATAAAATGAAAAGGCTTGATCGATATTGTATTTTAATGTTTGACGAAGTATCTTTGCGACCTGGGATTCACTACAATCAAAAAGGCGATTTCATTGAGGGATTTGTGGACTTGGGCGGTAATGAACGCAGGGCTTTATTTGCTGATCACGCAACGGTTTTTATGTTAAAAGGCATCCACAGAAAATGGAAGCAACCTATTTGTTTTTGTTACTGCGAGTTTACTATGAAAACTCCAGATTTAGTTGTAATGATAAAAGTTTTACTGTCACATATTTTTCAATGTGGTTTAACTGTTGTTGCCACAGTAAGCGATCAAGGTGCCACAAATGCGGCTGCCATTAAACAGCTTCTAAAAGAAACTAATGAAAACTGTGTAAAAAGTAATATAGAAAATAAGTTTTTAGGTTACATTATAGATAATAAGGAAATTGTACATATTTTTGATTGCCCACATCTTCTTAAAGGTATCAGAAATGTTTTATTAACTAAAGATTTGATCTTCACTCACGACGGCAAGAAGAAAGTGGCTTCTTGGAAACACATCATAAGTACTTATAAGCTTGACAAACTTGACGGCAGGTTTAGTACCTTTACTAAATTAACAGACGAACATGTTTTTCCTGAAAAAATAAGGAAAATGAAAGTGAAACACTGTGCTCAGGTATTTAGTTTCACTGTTGCTGTTGCAATTAGGAATAAGGCCAAATATAGTCAGAAACTAAGTGACCCAAATCACCCCGAATATCTTGACCCTGCTGCTCATGATACAGCTGATCTGCTTCTTTTTTTTGATGAGCTGTTTGATAGTGTCAATGGGCATACATTATACAGTCCGATTAAGAAGTTGCGATGCGTTGTAAGCAACAAATCACACCATATGCGTTTTTGGCAGGATGCTATTGCAGTAATCCGTTCAATGAGTTTTGTTGATGCCAAAACAAAACGTTCTGTTGTAACTCCTTCACTCTCAAATTGGGTATCCACACTGCAAAATTTTATGTATATATGGAAAAGACTTAGAAGTGAGGGTTTTAGGTTTATTGCACCCAGAGATTTTAACCAGGACCCACTTGAGAATTTCTTCTCATGTATACGGAGTCATGGAGTTCGTAATACAAACCCCACATGCGCATCTTTCACAATGTCTTCTAAATCTCTCATTATTAATAATTTGGTGTCCTCACATTCCCTTGGGGCGAATTGTGAAAAAGATGACTCAGTTGGTGCTTTAAGTACACTGAAGTCATTTATATTGCAAAAAATAGATTGCGGTCAGACGTTGGCTTTGGTAAGATCGCCCATTTACGCACCATTGTCTGATTCCAGACACAGTACATTGCATGACACGGCATCAGCATATGTTGCTGGATATGTTATGAGAAAAATTTATCAGCGTGTGCAGTGTACAGATTGTAAAATAGAAATGGAAGCTGCAATTGAGTTGGAGCCTAATGAACTAATTAGATTAAAAATGTATGAGGGGTGCCAATTATTTGAGCCTTCAATTAAGGCAATTCATTGTTTTGATCAATTAGCCACCCAGTTGTTTACTGTTTTACCCCAAGTCATAACGAAATATAATTTAAAAAGTTGTGTTCATGATAGGGTGCAGTACGATGCCGGACTATTGTTTTGTGATGTACATAGGATTGTAAATAATGAACTTTTTTTTAATATTACTTTAAATATAGTTTTGCATTATTATATTAAAATAATTAACAATATTTTATGCGGTAAGGTACTAAGTTATAAGAATTTAGACAGTTTAACGGACTTAGCATATAAAAAATTTCTGAAAATTCGAAAAAAATAATTTATTTCAATAGACTGTGATGCACCCTAACTTACCGCAAGGTGAACGTGCGCATTCTGAACCACTTCTTGCATTGTTGCATTGCATGTTGTGATTTATACGTGTATGTGTTATGTTTTTTTTTTGTTTTGAATTTATAATTACAACAATCATTTTACGTATTTCATTTTAATGTTGCTGTAAGTATCTGGGCAAAAAATTAGAGCCCAAAAACGAACTTGGAACTGTACCGTATTCTGTTGTATGGGATTTTTTAGTCTTATTGCTGTCAATAGATGTTTGTGCCTAGTTTTGCTTAAATTTATTTTTCATATTGTTAGTCTTTCAATTTTACTTTTAAGTTGCATGTCGCGCCTCTGCACGCCTATGTTACCTTTATCTATTTGTGGCTGTAAACTTTTGTATGTTTGTCAACCAATTTTTGCCAACCCATTAAAACGTTTTTAGAGTTAAGTACTTAGTTCAGTTGGCATTTACTAGAAAAATGTAAGATTATTTTATAACAGTCCAATTTCTTTTATTACGAGCTGTTGTATTTATAAAATTTTATTAGTTAGGATTTAGATGATTTAAGAGCATGTTAATTTGACTTAACTTTTGGTGAAATCGAAAAAATAAAAAAAATGAGACCATTTCCTAATTTGTATTAGTCTACATTTATCCACCTTTATAATTCAACCTACCTCAGATGATATTTACATAAAATGTTTACATTTTATTAGGTATTTTGTAAAGGTAATGGTCGGAAGGTACTTTAAGTTCATTCGCATTGTCACTGTTTCAGATCGACATACTTTCTAATTGTCA